CTAAGTCAATATGGACATGAAAAATGATTGTTTAAACAATCAAATTCTTTCAATGGGAGGATTTAGAACTTTGAGATGAAATCACAGATTTTTGTTATGAACACAAGAACAGAAAAGTTTCAGTCTTTGAGGTATTGACTGCACACACACTATTCAAGCAGGGAAGCATGATATGAGTTTAGAGATGATCGATAACCACCATATCATGCAGATAAAAAATACCATTACTGGGTGCAGTAGGTCTTACTCTAGTCCCTATTGAACTGTACAAGGGTTTGGGTGAGGTCCTGGGTTACAACTAGAGATTATATTAGTTTATTTGGCTTCATATTTATTTATGTGACTTCAGTTGGGCTTTAATGTTAAATTATATTTGGTATGTTGAGGTTCAGAGAAAAAGTGATCACCTGCACTCCAGGTTTTCTTCAAAACAAAATCCACGCATGGTGATATGATTTGCATGAATGAATAAAAGGATTTCATTTTGAAGAAAACCTGGAGTGCTGGTGACCATTTTTTCTGTTTTGCAAGTATTTGGCGGCGCCATCCGCGGCCACTTCAGCACCCCCCACATTGTACGGGGCTTCTCGGTCAGGTGTGCGGTGGGACTCTCTATTTGATTGGTAAGGTTAAGGGTTGGGGTTATAGATTATGTTATGGTGTACGTTAAAGATTAGAATTAGGGATTATGCTAAAACTAAATGGAGGTGTATGTGTTTGGTTGGAATTTAGGGGTTATGTGATGTTTTGGGGTTCCTGTATAGGGGTTAGGTTGATGTTATGGGTTAGGTTGCAGTTAAGGGTTATGCTTAGGGGTAAAGCTGTAGTTAAGGCTTAGCGTAGGGGGTTTGGTTTCAGTTACATTATGTTTAAGTTAGTTTGAAGTGTACGGGGTATTCAATAGTTTGGGGCTCAGTATAGGGGTAAGGCTGAAATTAGAGGTTAATTGAGTGGTTAAGTGATAAGCGATTAAGGGTTAGATGTATGGGGTTCAGTTAGGTTATGTGGTCGGGTTAGGGTTTATATTAAGGTTAGTTTGAGGTGTAGGGCTTAGGTGGAGGTTTTTGGGGTTCCATCGTGGTTTAGAATTCCTGACATGTCACAATATGCAGGACATTTTAGCTAGGAAACCTTTTTTTTATGGTGGACTTAAATATAAAGTGAGGAGTAAAGTAATAGTAGGTTTATATCTACAGATCAAACAGAGACGGAAGAAACCGGGACAAAGGGATTTGGGTCCAGAAAAAGGGACTATTCCCCTAAATACGAACATTTGAGAGCTATACATAATCACTACACCACACCTTATGTACAGGATGTTCAATGATTTCCTTTACAATCAATCAATTTAGACGTTTGCGGTACAATGATAATCCAAATCTCTACATAGCGTAAGTCTTCTAAAGTCTAAATTTGGGAAAAAGAACATAACAATACACTTAATAGTAGGGATGCACCGATACCGATACAAGCATCGGTATCGGCCGCGATACCGAGTATTTGCATGAAATAGCAAACATAAATATAACTGCAAATATTGTTTTCATGTTCTGTGCTGCTGTGTGAGCTTTTACATATTTATTTGTGAGTCCTATTCAGAGATCTTTTATTCGTACAGTATATATTAATAGGTCATAATCTAATCTAAATACATATACATTATTTATGCATTTTTTATTTTATATATAGATATATCTATCTAGATATATATGTATATATATACATACATACATACTGTATATATCTATCTCTCTCAT